GCACTAGGATTACAGGCTTGAGGCACTATGCTGGACAGATGTTTACAGAGAGTTGTTGACCCTTGCCTTAAAGTTGCAAAAAAGCCAAGAACCTTAGAAGCATCAAGACCTCAATGTCTAGCATCTTTGAGACAACTATTAATCTGAAAAAGAAACTGGAAATTATAAGACAAAAGACCAAATTCCTTGAGTTTTTATGTTATATCATATAATAACCTCAAATTTATAAATATAAAAATTAAACAGCTTGACTATAAAGTTACTGAATCCATATTTTTCACAAACTATCTTCTGTAGTCTCAATTGAAGGAAAAAATCTCACAATTTAAAATATATCAATAAGCATGCATATTTTTACCATTCATTGACATTTTTTCATGAAGGAATATACTCAGTTCTAAACAAAACAGAGCCTGACTTTTTCTTACAAGCATTTTATTTTCTATTTCACTTCGCACTTTTCGATTTAATACATTTACTGAGCCTGGTGCAGTGGCATGCGCCTGTAGTCCCAGCTACTGAGCAGGCTGAAGTGGGAGTGTTGCTTGAGCCCAGGAGTCTGAGTCCAGCATAGTAGCATCCTATTTATTTATATATTTATGTATTTATTTATTAAATAAATAAATGTGTTCACTAAAGTCATTCTACTCTGTTCTGACCAAGCAGAATATTTATGTATTAATACAAAATCTATAGTTGATTATCTGATGTAAGGAATTTGTTTTTAACTTCCATGTTTTTTATTCTAAATAAAAAACCTTCAGATAAATCATTTTAGCTTCATTAAAAATACAACTCACTATCAAAGTTCATGTATTTATTTAATAGATGAGTCTTACTCTGTTACCCAGGCTGAAGTGCAGTGGCTCAATCACAGTTCACTGCAACCTCCAAATCTTGGGCTCAAGCAATCCTCCTGTCTCAGCTTCCTGAGTAGGTGGGACTACAGGCATGTGACACCAACTCTCCATTTTTAAGAATAAATGTTAATGTATATTAGCTAAAAAAAGAAAAAACCTTAAATGATGTTTAAAATGACCCCAGAGTTATTTCCAGAAACGTGTAAGGTTGGTTCAACAACTGAAAAATCAGAATAACTCACCATAAAAACTGATTAAAGGAAGAAAAAAAAACCCCACACAATTTCAATACACACCAAAAAGGCATATGACAAAATTCAACATCCATTCATGATTCAAAAACCCTCAGTAACCTAAGAACTAAAGAAAACTTCTTTAACCTGGTGAAAATGACCCACAGCTAATATCTTTTAAAGGTGAAAGACTGTTTACTTTTTCTTTAAGAAAGTGAACAAGAGGCTAGGTACAGTAGTCCACGAGCCTGACCTCTTTGGGATGTCAAGGTGAGAGGACTGCTTAAGCTCAGGAGTTCAAGACCAGCCTAGGCAACATGGTGAGACCTCATCTTTACAGAAATAAAACAATGAGCTGGGTGACGGCATGCCTTTACTCCCAGCTACTTGGGAGGCTGAGGCTGAAGGATCACTTGAGCACAGAAGATCGAGGTTGCAGTGAGCTGTGATTGTGCCACCGCACCACAGCCTGAACCACAAAGTGAGACTCTAACTTAAAAAAGAAAAAGAAAGAAAGAAAAGAAAAAAGCATGAACAAAATAACGATGGTCACTCTCATCATTCCTATTCAACATCTCAGTGGAAGTCCTAACCAGTACAATGTCAAGAAGTAAAAAGCATAGACTAGAAAGTTTTTCTATTCATAGATGACTGTCTACTCAGAAAATTCCAAGAAATTTAGTTTTTTTTTTTAATCTCCTAGAGCTAATAACTGAATTTAGTTAAAACTCGGGCTAAAAAGTCAATATATCAAAATTCACTGAATTTCTATATACTATCAACCATCAATTGGAAACTGATTTTTTAAAATTACCACTTACAATAGAAGCAAAAAATTGAAATAATTAGATACAGAGCTAAATAAAGTGTTTGCAGGATCTATATGTCAAAAACTACAAAATACTCATGTAGCTGGAGAGACATATCATGGTTCATAGACTAGAAGACTCAAATTGTTAAGATATCAATTGTCCTCATGTTGATATGTAAGTTAAACACAATCCAGTCAAAATCTCAACATAACTTTATACCGGATACCAACAAGATAATTCTAAATATTATACGGAAAGGCAAAGGACTAAAAATAGCCATAAAAATTTTGAAAAAGCACAAAGTTGACCCAGTCCAAAAACTATTTGTGCCTCCAAAAGCTACTGAAATTAAAAAAAAAAAATTTTGTAAAGTTGGAAGACTCACATTACCTGATGTCAAGACTTATTTTAAAGCTATAGTAATCAAGATACTGTGTTACTGGCAAAAGGACAGACAATTGGCAAAAGGACAGATCAATTAAACATAAACCAAATAAATGTAGTAAAATGTTTTTGATAAACAGACAAGAGGAATTCAAATGATCATGAAACAACTAGACAAATAAATGAAAATCAACCCATACCTCTCTCTTTGTACAAAAATTAACTCAAAATGAACATAGATCTAAATATAAAAGAAAAACATAAATCTGTAGAAAAAAATAGGAGAGAATACAAAGAAAAATGAAGACTTGGGTTTACACAAAAAACTATTTGCAAAAATTTATAGCACCCTTATTCTTATCACAAAAAACCTGAAAACAACTCAAATGTCCTTCACCTGATGAACGGTTGAACAAATGGTGCTACATCCATGCAAAGGACTGCTGTGTTCAGCATGCAGCAGTAAAACAGAAGGAACAGCTGATAACTCAATAACATGAATGAATCTCAAATATATCATGCTAAATGAAAGAAATTAGGCTCAGAAGGCTAAACACTGTATGATTCCATTTAAACGACAGTCAAGAAAAGACCAATTCTAGGGAGAGACAACAGATCACTGATTGCCACAGGTGAAGGGTGGGGGGAGAGTTCTAGAAAAGGGCAGCACATGGGTAAATTTTTAGGTGAAGGAACTCTTCTATATCTTGATTGTAGTAGATGTATAGTTCTTCGAATTTATCTAACAATTGCACAATGAAAAGAGTTAATTTCATTTCATGTAAATTAAAAATAAAGTTCAAAAATATGTGAAGAAAGGAACAAATATACCATTTCTTGTCCATCAGATTGGCAGAAATTTAAAAACCTGACAATGACAACTGTGGGTAGGGGTAAGAAACCACTGCCACTCATAGCCTGTTGGCAGGACTGTAAACTGTAACAATTTTAGAGGGTAATTTGTCTGTAGCTAGTAAACTTGAAAATGCACATCAACCTATTATCAGCAATTCCACTTACAGGTAGATATACACTCTAGGGAAACCTTCACACGTGCTCAAGGAGACATGTACAAGGACATTCATTAAACAATATGTGAAGTATTAAAAAACTGAAAACAATCCTTCAGTAGGGGAATGAATTCTATTTAGTGGTTGTTAAAAAAGAAAAGGAAAAATACGCCTAAGAGAAAGAATCAGCCCTGCCAGTTTGGAGAAGGTGGCTAATAAGACATATTAAGAGCACTGAAACTTAGACTATGGAGACAAGTATTTTAGTATTTACATTGTTCCAACCCTGCCACTAACAGTCAGACTATGGGCTACTTAACTTCCACAAGCATCACTTCATATTTTGTAGAAAAAGAAGAAGTTGGATTATATAACCATGAAGAATAGTTTCAACTCAATGATTCTATGAGTAAGTATATAATCAAAAATTATACTCTAAAGTACATATTGTGAAGATTACTATTTTTTTTCAGACACCCTGAAATTAAAAAAAAAAAAAAGAGAGAGAAACAGGACATCTTCGTATACTGATCCATAAAACAGACCAAATTTCTTGGAATGTCTGATGAGATTTTTTAAAATCAACATCATATAAACAACTAAACCCATTTTACTGACTTGGGTCACCATCAGAACTTAAATATCCTCTCCCATTTTAACATTCTAAAACAAGTTAATATTGCTAATGAGTCCATCTTAACTTGTCAAGTTCATCTAGCCAAAAATCATTCAAGTACACGGTAAAATTTACTCGATTTTTTTGTTGTTGTACTCTCACTCTGTCGCCCAGGCTGGAGTGCAGTGGCACGCTCACAGCCACCGCAGCCTCCACCTGCTAGGCTCAGGTGATCCTTCCGCCTCAGCCTCCCAAGTCGCTGGAACTACAGGTGCATGCCACCACGCCCAGCTAATTTTTTTGATTTATTGTAGAGACAAAGTCTCGCCAAATTGCCCAGGCTGGTCTCGAACCTCTAGGCTCAGGCAAACCTCTCGCCTCTGCCCCAAAGTGCTGGGATTACAGGCGTAAGCCACTGCGCCCGACTCTGTTTTTTTTAAGATAAGATAATCACTTTTCACATTTTTCCCTGTTTCATCAGTAAAACACTTACATTATAATTCAATAGCTTTAGCCTGCTACAGATAGTTTAGAGAAACTTTTAAAACGTATATACTATGCCCACAGGGATCTACTAGTTCATAATTCAAGAAAGCTTATTTAGTAATTTTCATTAACACCAATACTTCAAAGACACTAATAACACGTCATTTGCTCCTATTACAGCATTTAATAGGTTATTACCTGCTGGTATAGTCCAAAAGCACAATTAGTATACTGTTATTGAAACATATTACTTCTTTCTAAAAATCATAAATATCAACACCTTTCACCTTGACAGTCAAATCAAAACGTCAGGATTCCAGTTCTACAGACTTTCCAAATGTAAATTCCCATAATCCTAAATGAGCATGGAGATGAAACACACACTACATACCACTTCTACAAACTTCCCAGCTACCAGATTTTAATTCTGGCGTAAACTGCCAAGAAAAGTCTTTCGACCGAAACCCAAATTCCGTACACATTACTGTACGCCAGTCAACGAAACAGAGGGTGAGTTATTATCACTAGAAAGTTACATAATTTACTACAACGATCTCGTTTACCTTTCACTAGACGTCAGACACAGCCACCGAGAGGCTTCAAAGTTCAACCTGCAATCTCAGAGTACATGACCAGAAACCAAGCGCGATATTTGGCTTTTCTTTAAAAGTGGGCACAAGGAAGCAGGAACTGTTTATCCGGGTAAAGGACGCGACGAGCAGCAGAACGCCAGGAGCCGAGTCCGGCGCAGGACGCCGACCGCACTGGGTCTCCCGAAGGAAAGCGTCCCGGGCCGGCCGGGCGCGACCCCTGGGG